AAAAGACAAATTTATATATTAGCACATCCAATTTATAGACCTATGGGACATTCACTTTTAGATCAAGACATTAATAACTAATTTCTCTAAAAATTACAGATTCAAACTTTTACTTTCAATATCATCTTCATGTAAACGCAATTATCATAAGATATTAAAAATTATATATATAACTCCTATGACACACCATCTTTATTGTGAACCCTCGTACATATGTTTTTATTTTAAAAAATTAAAAAAAAAAAGCTAATTATCCAATTTAAGATGTGAAGGTGGGGCCTAATTTAATGACTTATCTTGTATATATCTTAACTTATGAATTTGGTTTTTTTTTTTCTTTTTGAGGCATGAATTTGGTATTAAAGTTTGGAACTTTTAGAAATGGTAGGTATATGTATATATTCATATAAATCAAAATTTCATTTGTTAACGATTTTGAAGCTTCAAATTCCTACCTCATATTTTTAATATTATATTCTAATAAATAAATAGTAACAGGAAATATTAGAAAGTTTTTTTATAAATAAATTGCTCTAAAATTATCTCCTCTCAAACTAGTTAAAGTGGTCCATCTATTTTCTCATAATTATAAACCTAACCATCAAATTCAACGGATTAAAATATATATCATTGATAAAAAAAATGTTACATGTTCAAATTTCTATTCTCACATGTTATTGAACTAAAAAAAATCCGACTAATTTATACCCATCTCAATTAGGTTCCATACAAAATAAAATAAAATAAAAACCATGGGATCCGACATCATGATTTGAATCTAAGATATATAAACTTACAATTATTGGAGCAAAATTCAATAAAGTATTTTGGATGTAACCAACTAATAGTATTGGAATTAAATTCCATGTCACCTATATAATTGAAGAAGATCATCACTAGTTTCTTGACACGTAGGATAATAACGACGTTTGGAGTGTCCCATTTGTACAAGCCACATCCAATGAATAGATTTTATTATTATTATTTATTTTTGAGGAGATTAAAACACACAGATTTTCCATTTCTCAAAAAAAAAAAAAAAACAAAAAAAACAAAGATTTTCCAAATAAGTGGATGAGAGAGAGAGAATTTTTATGCTTAGCAATATTTGGATGTGGTTTCTTTTGATTGGTCCTATACAACTTTGAACTAATTAATTAGTCATTAATAAACAATCCACACATCCCTTTTGCTTCCAAAAATTTCTCTCTATTACATCTACTATTTTTTTTTTTAATTTCTTCAAATTATAAATTCAGTTCCCTAATGCTTATTTAAATTATTTTTATTTATATACTAAATATATTATGTCGAGCATCAATCATGTAAGTTCGAACCTCCACCCTACATGTTGTACTAAAAAATGTTATGTCAATTAGTTTATTTATATGTTTGATATGTTAGGTTTAAAAAAAATAGTTAATTTGAATATAGTTTAATCAGTTAAGGATTGAATCTCCATCCCTATTGTTGAACTATTTTTTTTATTTTAAAATTATAATGAAAAAGGAGAACATATTGAGTAAAAGAAAAAAAAATGGGAAAAGAGGATTGAAAAGTACGAGGGGAGGCCACAAGTTTCTTAGATTGGAGTTTTGGCATTTATACTTTTTCATCCACAAGATTATAATTATGCCAAAGGAATTTGGAACATACGTTTCTTAATTAATGTTATAAAATCTAAAGTTTTATGCATTTTCTTTTAAATTTTTAAGTTATGAGTAATTCGTTTACAAATTAAATTTTGTTGATACTACAAATTAAATTGAGCTATATGATGTTTTAATTCTAATACGGATGGGGCATTAAATATTGAAGAAAATATGGAAAATTTTAAACTAATTGAAATACAGGTAATTTAACGGCGAATTTGGAAAAGTCTTTCTCACTATTCATTCTATTCGAGATAGGGAAGCTTTCGATCAAGATGTTCTCGCCTCCCCCAGAGCGGATAACTAATGCGTTCCACTTATTGAACAGGATTCTATGGTCGATCCATCAAATGAAAAGCTTATTTAGTTGCAAAAGTGAGCATAACTAGCGGTAATTAACATATATCTCTAATTAAAAAGTTGTGAGTTCGATCTCCACCTCACATGTTGTACTAAAAAAAAACTTATTTAGTCAATACAATATGATTTGTAGTCATTAAGGACGATCCGTTCTTTATTTCACATTTCTAATTTTTAAATAAAATAATTGTTTGGTATTTATTTTTATTTTTCATTCTTAAAATTATATAGAGATTTTGGAAACAAGAAAATCAAGTCTCTAAGTGAGAAATAAGAAATTAAAATATTAACCAAGGGACTTTTGGAACTTTAAATCACTCTTGTCGCCGTAGAATATAAACTCGATAGCCGCCTCATATAAATTACCATATCTAAATTCATGCATCATTATTCTTGTATTGTTTTAGACTTTTAGTGACACTGATGGGCTGATTGAGAAAAAAAAATCATATAGAGGAAGTTGAAAATTTAAAAGTTTGAGAAACTAAATTATATGTTTAATTTAAGATTTTAATCATATTTAAACAGATTTAGATTCCAAAATTTAGTTTAAATCATAGTTCTAGTGTATTATAAATAGTTTAAGGGTGGGATCGTTTCTTGTATATTACTGTCTTAGAGGACGAACTAAAGTGGAAGTTCATAAACATGTGACACATGAGTAGAGGGATACATGAACGAGCTGACATTATCTCGGAAGGAGAGTGAATCCTAATAGGTCGTTTGTTTCGTGAGAATCTAAGATTCCCGTGAGGCGGACATTTGGATTCCTACGTTTGTTTTTGCAGGAATGTAAAATAGTGTGAACCCTAAAATAAAAAAACTTTTGAGAGTTAAAAAATTAGATGAAATGTAAATCATGATTTAATAAATTATTGTGAGTACATTGATATAATATGAATTGTTAAGAGGAAAAGAAAAATAAAAACAATAACAGTAGTTATCAGGATTTTTTTAATACGGTAAAACAGCTCATTATTTAAATATAATTATCTTGAAACTTATTTTTAGAATAGTATAGTTTTAATTCGGACTTTATGATACGATTTGGGCTGCGCAAATCATTGAAATCGCTCTGTTATTTTAACTTTATTAGGAGATCTGTGCTGTTTCTCCAATCCAAGTACAAATTATCTCTTTTTTAATTAGAAATATATGTCTAATTGAAAAAAAAAAAAGAGTTATAACACGTCTCTTTTGTTAAAAAAAAAACAAATAATAATAATAAAGTAAACTATTTGTGAGGAAACTCTACAGCAAAAAGGCAAAATCAAATTTGCCAACTCAGACAACGCAACCCAAATT